CCCCATGAGGACTATTTGGCTTATATGTGTATAAGCCATGTCTATCTGGGGAGAAACACTTAAGCCTGGAGGAAAAGCAAGTTCTCTCTCAAACCAGTCCCTCTGCCCAGCAGATGAAGTCTAAGGGTGGGAACATGGAACAGGGCACGTTCTAGATTTAGCCTCTGTTTTCTGTCTACACAATAGATACACTTGCTTAATGATGCTTGGTTCCTAGCTACTGGCCCTAGCCTTGTCTGTTTCCATCCAGTGGCCCTAGAAATGACCTCTAATGCTCTCACTGCTTCATTTAGAGGCTCTTATTGAGACTTTACTGATTCTCATTTAGACTTTACCAAGACAATGATTTCACAGGCAGGATCAGATTGAGGACATCTAGTCCCTTGTTTTCAAGTCCTCACTTCCTAGGGAGCTGAGGGGGGGGGGGAAACCCACACCTTTATGCGGACAAGAATGAATGGTTCTTCCGAATGGAAGTAGTGAAGAAAAAGTAGAAGGGTTTCTGGCTGAAGGCTCAGTTATTTGGTATCCCAGCCATATGGGAGGAAGACAGGGAGATAGCGCTGGGGACTCACCCTCTAGCGTGTTCAGGCCAAATTCCAAGGAGAAGAGGATCATAAGCAGCCATGTTCCCCAGGGCCAAAGACTGGGTACTGCCATGGTCCCAGGCCTGGCTTGCATCCAGTATTGGCTCTTTCCAGGTGGCTCCAAGAAGAAGGGTCTGACAGATAATTAGTGATTACAGAGACCCAGGCTTCAGAGAGGAAGGGGAGGGATCAGGTAGACAGATAGGAATCCTACACTGAGTCAGCAGGGGACCGAAAAGAAATGAGGGTCACAGAGACATAAAGCCAGTGTCAGGCAGCTGGAGATAGCCTCAGTGCAAATCCAGAGACAAAGGGGGGGGGAGGAGGGGAGGGGACCGAGAGGGAGAGAGAGAGAGAGAGAAAGAGAGAGATGGAGGAGGGGGAGGGGGAGGGGAAGGGGGGGAGGAAACCGATGTGCAGAATCGAGAGAGTCTCCAAATTGACCCAGGGTTCAGAGCAAAAGGCAGTCCCAGAGGCCCGCAACACCCGGGGAGGGGAGGGAGCGGAAGCCCCCAGGACCACCCCGGGGAATGATAGCTGGGGTCCTGGAGCGCCTCTGGACTGCGTCTCCACGATCCCAGGGGTTCGCTGGCTCCCCGGCGCCAGCCGGCTGCACTCCCTGCGGGATCTTCCGGGGCGGGTTCACAGGGGCCGCGCCCAGCCCTGGTCCTGCCCCCCCACCCCCCCAGTTCTAAACAGATTTGGTTTGCTGGGACCTCTCAGTTCCCTCCGCCTACCCAGTCAAGCCAAAATATTTAGCCTGATAACTGAGGTGGGGAGAGGAGGGGGGGGGACGGGTCTTGTTGGGGGAAATACGGCCAAAATACAGGGAAGCAATGGGGGGGGGGAGGGTAAGCCAAGAAGTGAGCTTCCTTAACCTTGCTTGGCTGAGGTGGGTCCTGTCCTATCCCCACTCCCCACCCCAGGCTCCGCCGCAGATCTGGGGAGTTGTGCCGCCGAGGGACCAGCCAGCGCCGGCATCACCTGGGGAGCAGCGGTTGGCTCCACATTCTGCCAACAACAGGTGCCTGGACACCTGCGGGGTAACTTCCAGTAGTGTGGGCCCAGCCGAGCCCGCTTGTTGAAACCCAGCGAGAGCGTGGACACTGTTTCCTGTCGCCTCTGGGGACCCCCTCGGCCTCCCGAGGCCACTTCCTTCCGTGGCCTCTTAGCGCGCGGCTCAGACCCCGCCAACCGCCTCGATTCGGGCCAAGATGCCCGTGAGAAGGGGATCTGCCTTTGTCCAGTCACCCCCCTGAATCCGGGCCGGTTGGTGGCTCTCTCCCTGCTTTGGGCATTTGGGGGAGACCAATCGTTTTGGGGTCCTGGAGGAAAGAGAACCGCGTGTTTCCCTAGAAGGTCTCTTTTTGCACGCTCCCGAGAGTCCCTCCTGCGGGACCCCTCTGCCCTCCTCTGCAGGAGACTTACGGGGACTTTCGCAGCCACAAGGCCCGCGTGTGCGAGGGGCTGGCACCTGCCCTCCCGCTGCTGCCCAGAGGGGCTGGAGATCCCGGGGCTTTCCAGGTGCGCAGCCTCCGAGGGCCGACCGGGTCCCTCGCTCCACCCGCGGGCGACTCCTGAGTCCGAAGAGCTAAGAGAAGATCTATTAATTTCTCTGCGCAGAGATCGATGCTCTTGTCAGGATGGCGATCGATGCCAGCTCCGCTCCGCCTGGCCCAACTTGGCCCTGGAGCCCCTCCCGCCCCTTTACCCCCTCCACCCCGCTGGCTGGCCAGTGTCAGAGATGACCCTGGGACTGAGCCGCTGCGCAGTCGGGGTACGGACCACGCCCCCACCCACCCGACCCAGGCCCAGCGCCAACACCGTGGCGTGCGGGCTTCTAGCGCCACCCTGTGGTCTCTCTGGACCGAGGGGTCTCGGCTCCCGGGTCTGTGGCTGTTCTCAGATCATCTCTTCTCATTCTCTGCTCTTGTCTTCCTCCCCAGGTTCTGCTTCTGGTCCTTTTGGGCGTCCTCTTCCTTCTATTACTAAAGTTCAAAGTATTCCACCTAGTTTATCCCAAGTGACATGCACACCCCCTCAGGCAAGTGCGTGGCGACGCCGGGGACTGGGTAGGATGACCTGGACTGCAACCTTTTCCCGGCTCAATTATCTTCCCTCCCCCCCACAACCCCCAACCTAAAAATGCAGCTGTTTTACTTTGGGGGAAAAAATAACGTATCAACTTCCCAGATCCCCTAGCCCCCTAAGACAACTCCTGAGGCATTCCGTCGCGGCCCTTTCATGACGCTTGGAAGCGCAGGAATATTCGGGCAGAAAGCTGGCACGGGGGGATGGGAGCCCTTGACAGGGAAGGGGGCAGACTTGGGGGCTTCAGGGGATGGGGCGGGGCCCGAGCCGGCGGGGCGGGGCCGGGCGGGGACGCTGGCTCCGCCCTTTCCTGGCGGCTGGGTCTTTAACACTGCCGCCCTTCGCACATGTCGCTGGAGGCCCGGCGGCCGCCGCAGCTGGGAGCGCACGGACCGACGGCCGCCAGGCGCGCGCTGCCGCGATGCTGCGAGGCCAGCGGAGCGGGCAGCTCGGCTGGCATCGCCCGGCGACAGTGCCGGGCAGCCTGCTGGCTTGGCTGATGCTGGCATCTTCAGGCGCTGCATCCTGCCCCGATGTCTGCTGCCCCTTTGGTCCCTCGGGGCTGCGTTGCACCCAGGCTGGGAACCTGAGTAGCCTCCAACTGCTGGGCGCCAAGAATCTGACAGATCTGTGAGTGTCCGTCGGGCGAGAGGACGCGGGGACAGGAGGGCACCCCCAGTACCCCGAGGGCGCGCACTCGATGCTGGCTTGCTGGGTCAGGTGGGGTGGGCGCGGCAAGGCTGGCATTGCGCACTTTGATGGTACCTGGGCAACCCGGCAAATCCCACTATTTCTGCCTGGGAGTCTCTGTGAAGCTCAGGGTAGCTAGATCACTGGTTTGAGGCAGAGCAAGGGTGAATATCTGTCCATCAGATGTGAGTCAGTCCAGCCATCCAGAAGCCTCCCCCTCCCCACTCTTCTAGAAGCCTATGGTCTGCCCCATGGAGGGGATGATTAGCTGGGAGAACCCCTCAGTGTGGCACCTTTACTGTCTTTTCCCTTTTCTTGGTAGAAATCAACTTCCAATCTGTCATGCCCAGCTATTCCCATGAACTTGAAATTGAGCTGGAATTGGTGGGAGGTGATGAGGAGCCCTATCTTGGTAGTTGAGCTATCCTAGCCCCATTTCCACCATTCTTGCCTCCAGGTCTCCTTGATTTGAGTATGTGCAATGAGACAGGCTCCCTTATCTTCTCTTCCCCCACCCCTATCTCCCTTTGTACCCGTGGTCTCCCTGCTTGAATCAGGGAGTCGGGGCTATTTCTGAGAGGTTCTTTCCATCTCCAGATCCAAAGCTGGAAAGAGCCGCCAGCATTCTGCAGTAGTCTGACATTCTGCAAAAAATCCCTTACACAATATTTAAGTTCGTTTTAGCCGCTGCAATAACTGGCCTAAAAGTACTCAAGTATCACATGATGAAGGCTAGAAAATACACCAGTATTCTGTATGGCTGGTGGGACCAGCAAGACTTCTATAAGAGGAGAGAGAAATCCCCTTCCTGTGCTCTGGGCTGTAGAAGATGGATCAGGAACCCTAGTCTCGTGCAGTAACAGGCTAAAGAGAGTCCAAGGTGGAGGCTATCACTGGCTGGAAGTTACTGGAGCAGCCTGTAATAATTGGCACTGAGTTACTCGAACATCTTAGGGTAATTAACGGGAAGGTACTGAGTATCTCTCTCTAATGGCCCTAGGGAGACCAGAAAGAGAAGAGATGGCCTTGTCTTGGTCTGGGCCTAGATTTTCACATGAGAGGGGGCAGGAGAGCCCAGCTGTCATCTGTGGTTCTGTCCATTCATCACGCTGGGCTTCAAACTAGGGTTTGACTACGCCCCGTCAGTGTTCTTATTTCTCAGTTAATTTCCAAGCATCAGGTGATTCTAGCCTAGAGACTGGAGGAGTGGACAGTTCTGGGGACCTGAAGACATGAAATTAAGATGAATTAAGATGTCCCCCAGGGTGGGGCAGCACAGCAGCCTGATCCCCTACCCCCAAACCTCCTGCAGTCTTTCCCTCCTCCTTCAGCCACCTCTACCTCCCTCATCCGCAGAGCTAACAAGGAGATAATGGACTTGAACAGACAGATTAATTATGAATCCAAGCCAATGAGGCAGCTTTGAGCACATTGCCTGACAGCTTGCATACACCCACTGGCCTCACCTTCTTACCATCTCCCTATAGTTTGGAACCCTTTGGTCAAGGGCTGGCCCGTGATCAGTACAGGGACCTGCCCTCCCTCAAAGACACTAGATGCTATTCCCTAAAGCCTCAGGGGATTGAGGACCTGACACCTGGCTGTCCCTATGGGGGCCAGGGCTGGAGGAGAGCAGCGAAGGGTCACTTATATTGGTCCTGGTTCCCTTTCCTTATTTAGGGAAAGTCCAAGGGTAGGAAGGGAGAGTTTTGAGAACTGGTAGCATGTCAGGGTCCCTTGCATGCATGAAGAAGGAGTAAGGAGAGCACATGACATGCCACTGCAGGGGAGTGAATTCTTAGGAACTCTCTACATGCCAGATCCAGAAGCTAGGCAGGTGGTAGGCAGCCATTGCCATCCCCAATGCCTGCTTGCTTTTCTTTCTTTCCTTGCTCTTCCTGTCTTGCTTTCTCTGTCCTTCTCTATCTGTCTCCTTTTCCTTATCTATCTTTCTTCTTGCCTTCCCTCTCTCCCTGTATCTCTCTGCCAGTTCCCTTCCAGACAGTTTCTGTTTCTCCCTGTCTCTGTTTCACTCTTTGTTTTTCTGCCCTCCTTCCCCACCCCACTCAGCCTTCCCTCATCAAGCACTGTGTAGGCAGCCAGTCCCTGGCCTCCTCACTCCCTCCCCCTCACATTCTCCCTGCCCCTCTTCCCTTTCTGGCTCCCTTGTGGGGTAGTAGGGGAGGGGGTCCTTGACTGATAGCCTCTACGCTTCTTGCTTGCTCTGCAAAGGCCTGGGGGTGTGTGACTAGAGGTTGCTGCCTGAGTGTGGGGAGGGGCCAAAAGCCTTAAGAAGGCAGAGGGACTGGAGTGTGTTTGTGTGAGTGTGTTTGTGTGTCTGTGAGTAAGCCCAGATGTGAACCCTGAGCAGGTGTGTTTGGAAGCACACATTCACATGACCACAGGGATCTTCTGTGCTGAGTGGGGCAGTGGCAGTGGTGAGGGGCCCTCTTTGGGAAAACCAGTGCCCACTGGTGAGGTTGTGTAAGCTGAGAAAGGTCTAGTGTGTTTATGAACAGATGTGTGTACATTCTCACCCATGTTTGTGTGTGCATGCGAGAGAAGTATAGATGTGTTTTGCCTGTGTATGAGTATATGAGCATGTATCTGTGTGTACCTGTGCATGTGTGAACACACATAAACAAGAGCATCTCTGTGCATGTGTTTTTGTCTCTGTGTGTATGTGCATGCTTGGTGGGTAGATAGTGCAAGAGGTGTGTAGGAGTGTGCAAATGCATGAGAGTGTGAAGGACGCATGTGCAGGTGTGACTTGTAAGGAGATATATTTTGCATATGTGCACACACTTATTGTGCATGTGTATGTACTTAGGTCTGTGTGTGAATGGTGCATGCATGTGCAGGTATGTGCACACACACGTATGATTGTGAAGGAAGCTGTGTGCTGGTGGCTTACACCTGTAATCCTAGCTTCTCAGGGAGTTGAGATCTGAGGATCTTGGTTAGAAACCAGTCCACACAGAGAAGTATGCCAGAAGTGGTGCTGTGGTTCAAATGGTAGAGCACTAGCCCTGAGCAAAAGAACCTCATAAATAGTATTGAGGCCCTGAGTTCAAGCCCCAGGACCAGCAAAAAAAAAAAAAAGTTGTGAAGGAGGTGGTGGGTTTGAAGGGGTCTTATGTGGACCTGACTGCCAGCTGATCATCCTCTCTCCTCCTTACAGCTACGTGGAAAACCAGCAGAATCTGCAGCGCCTGGAGCTCAGTGACCTTCAGGGCCTGAGGGAGCTAAGAAACCTGTGAGGGGCTGAGGGTGTGCAAGTTGGGTCTGGGCAGAGGGCCAGGACCAAAATGTGGGGTAGGCTCAAGAGTCATAAGGTCTGGGAGGGGCTGAGAGTCTGAGAAGTGGGAGCTGGGGAGATTTGCAAGTTCAGAGATCTGAGGAGTCCAGGACAGGTATAGGAATTAGGGATCAGAGAGGGGTGCAGGACCCAGCACTGGGAACTTGGGGCTGGAATTAGTAGAGAGGGCAAGGACCCAGAATCCTCCTGTACTCATTGCAGCACCATCGTGAAGAGTGGCCTTCGCTTTGTGGCTCCAGATGCCTTCCGTTTCACTCCTCAACTCAGTCGCCTGTGAGTGGCAGGGCTGGGCTGGGTGGCGATGGGGAAGGCCCTAAGATTTAGACTGCTCATAGGCTTGGTCCTCCCCAGGGGACTGTTCTGAAGAACAGTCAGGGAGATGTCTCTCCATCCCCTGGATAGTGCTCCCTCCAAAGTCCCTCCTGTCTCATGCCCATGCTGCACACTTCAAGAACTTACCTCTTGGATGTCTTCCTGGTATCCGCCTGGAGTTCAAATGCATTATCTAGTTCCAAGAGCAAGGGATGGGAGCAGGACTCCCGAGGTTCTGGCCAGAATTTCATCTTCTAATCCTCCTAGATGGGAAGCATCAGGCCCTGAGCTAGCCTGGGAGTGGGGGTAGCCTTACCTGCCACTCATCACAGCTATCTGTCCTGTTGGGAACAGAGCATGGAGTGGGCAGGAGACATCTTCAGAGTCCCTGGCAACACCTGCTGGCTGCTGAGTGTCAGCTCTGCGTCTTCCATGAGCTCATAGAGAGATGGAAGGGGACTGTTGGGCTGGGTCCAGTGATTTAACAAGTTTGGTTTGCTTGAAACACCATTGCATTACCTACTACAGACTGGGTTAACAAGTGAATATTCAGCAATATTTCACATTTCTTATGTCTGGGTCTCTTTTCAATCAACCTGGTACCAGATGGTGTTGTACCTGTTCTTCTCTCTCTCTCTCTCTCTCTCTCTCTCTCTCTCTCCAGTCCTGGGGCTTGAACTCAGGGCCTGGGCCCTGTCATGGAACTTCTTTTTGTTTAAGGCTAGCACTCTACCACTTGAGCCACAGTGCCACTTCTGGCTTTTTCTGTTTTTGTGGTACTGAGGAATCGAACCCAGGCTTCATGCACGCTAGGCAAGCACTCTACCACTAAGCCACATTCTCAGGCCTGTTGTACCTATTTTGATAGATGAGAATCAGAGAGGTTATATTTCTGGGCTGAGATCCCTCAGATGCAAGTGACAGGCCAAGTGAGTTCACTGCCAGCTCTAATGTGTCTCCAGAGTGGCAGTGTCTCTGGTCCTTGCATGGAGGTGCCTTTCCAACCCAGCCCTCACAGTTTCAAGGAGAGGGACCCGTCCTCCCCCCCACCCCCAGCATTCAGGGAGCAACAGCACAAAGCTGGGGTTCCTATATGGGCTCGTTTACTTCATCTCTGTAACTGGGGAGCTATGGTTCTGGGGGGTCTTTTTTTTTTTCTGCCTGACTTCCTCAGCTCTGTGGAGCAACAGGAAGGAGGAGGAGGGGACCTGAGGAAGTACTTTGACATCCTTGTAGTCTGTCCGGCAGGGGGCAAAGGAGTGTGGGAGCTTGGCTCTTTCCCTCCTGTCCAGGGGGAGGGGTGTGTGTGGGGGTGCAGTACAGATGGAGCCCCTCCCCCAGCTGTGGCCTCAGCACTTTGCCAGCTGGGGCTGGAGGATGGGGGAGGGGGGCCGGCTGTTCCTTTAGATCCCCTCCCTGGGGTCTGGGGAAGGGGTTAAGTGGGATTAACCCTTGTTGTCCCAGGGAGAGGAACAAACTCAAAAAGGTTTACCTGCCTGAACCTGACTCTAAATACAGAGCCATCTCAACTCCTTTCCCAGTCTCTCCCCTGTCCTCCTTTCCCTCCTCCCTCCCACCCTTATTCTAGTTCTGTGCTGTGGGAAGGGGGCAGTAGATGTGAACTTCCTCCTGGCTCCCCCTCAAACTGGGTCAGGGTGAGGTCGGTGGCTCAGGGGGTCTGTTGCTTTCACAGGAATCTATCTTTCAATGCTCTGGAGTCTCTGTCTTGGAAAACGGTGCAGGGTCTCTCCCTACAGGAGCTGTGAGTGTGGGGCTCCCCGGGCAAGGGCGGCCAGGGTGGCATGTGTGGTCCCCTGTGCACTTGTGTCTCTGGGATGGCATTCACTGTGTTTGTGTGCAGTGGGGAGTCAGCAGAAACTGGGAACTGTGTGCAGGCACCCCATCAACACAGAGACTGCCGGCCACAGGCTGAAGGGCTGCTGGCTGAGTGTTTAGGGCTGGGCTGGGTTGAGATGCAGATCCTGTGTGGCCAGAGGCTGGGTGCTGGCATGGTTCTGAGGTCCCAGCTGAGCTGACCACAGGCCCACTAGACCTGTATCTGGCACAGCCCATCTGTCTCAGGGCAACTCACACTTGGGGTGGGTGTGGCAGTGGTCAAGTGCACCGAAGGCCTACTTCACTGCTAGAGGGCCTGCTCTCCCTTTCCTCCTGCTCATCATGAGCCTCCAGCGGCTGGTATGTTTGTTTTTTTTTTTAATTTTTTACTGAGAAAATACTGTACAGAGGGGTTACAATTACATGGGCAAGATAATGAGTACATTTCTTATCAAGCATTGTAGCCTCCTCCTTTGTTTCCCCTTCCGATCCTTCCCCCCTCCCCCATGTTTGGTTTTTTTTTTTTAACTGTATTTTTTTATTTTTGTCTTTTCTTTTTTGGTACTGGGGATGGAAGCCAGGACGTTGCACTTACTAGGCAAGAGCTTTGCCACTGAGCTACATCCCAGCCTTGCACATTTATTTCTTTGAGTTACTCAAGGTTCAAGGCTGTGTTTGTGACAGGTGCCCGTCCTGTAGCCCTGCCCCTTTGCCATCGCCATCCTTGCCCTCTGGCCCATGCACTGCATCTCTCCGGCTCCTCAGTCCCCACATCTGTCTCTTCCTGACTGCCTTGGTGTGTTCCCATGCCCACCAGAGACCTGTCGGGGAACCCTCTACGATGTTCCTGTGGCCTGCAGTGGCTTCAGCGCTGGCAAGAGGAAGGGCTGGGCAGGCTGCATGCCCAGAGGCTCCAGTGTGCCAGGTCCCTCACCCTCAGGCACAACACCAGCTGTGGTAGGTGCTGGAGAAGTAGTCAGCAGGTGGGCATAGAGGGCTACCTGCCTGGAGGCATGGCAGGCAGGAGGGTAGAGGAAGAAGTAGGCCCAGGGTGGGGTTTTGAGGCAATGCCTAGTAACTAACATGCCCGTGGCATCTTGGTGGCCAGGTGTGCCCACGCTGAAGGTCCAGATGCCGAACACCTCTGTGGAAGTGGGGGACAGTGTCCTGCTGCAATGCCATGTGTCTGGGCAGGGGCCACAGGATGCTGGCTGGATTCTCACCGAGCTAGATGGTACAGCTACAGTGATGGTGAGAAACCATGCATGCTTCCCCCTCCCCCCTCCATAAGAGACAGGACACAGGGACAAAGACTGGGAAGGGGAAACAACAACAAACAAGCAGCCCAAGAGAGTGAAACTGAGGCAGCTCAGGACACACACAAAACCCCAGGGAGGACACTGGCCCAGCTCTGCCAGACCCCCTGGAGCCTTCAGAGGCCCTTTTCTGGAAACAGAGAAAAGGTTGCACCATTCATGCTGGAGCAGGAAGGGACCAAACAGATGACCCTTGTCATATACTCTTTTTCTTTTCTTTTCTTTTTCCCTTTGTGCCAGTATTGGGGCTTGAACTCATGGCCTGGGTGCTGCCCTTTAGCTGTTTTGCTGCAGGTTAGTGTTCTGCCTACCACTAGAGCCACACCTCCACTTCCAGCTTTTTGGTAGTCAATTGGAATTAAGAATCTTATTCCTGCCTGGGCTGGTTTTGAACTCTGCTCCTAAGACCTCAGCCTCCTAAGTAGCTAGGATTACAGATGTGAGCTACTGGAGCCCACCTACATACACTCCCTTTCTAGATAAGGAGATTGAGGTCCATAAAAGGTGCCATATGTGTGGCCCTGCACCCAGGGCCTGTTTCCAGGGGCCTTTGGAGTCCTTTTCTGGAGATGGTAGAAGGAGCCTTCTCTTGGGTGTGGGATGAACACATTAATAAAGTCTGCTTAGGTCTGGTTCCAACTCTAATTACTTCTTAGTGACTTTAGGGAAGAAAATAATCCCTTAACTGCCTGCACTTTGGTTTTCTTATCAGCAAACTGAAGAGGTGGACATGATGGCCTTTTGATGTCCTGTCTGCCTCTGGGCATTCTCTGGCCGCTATCTGTTATCCAGACATGTCTCTGGGCACCTTCCCAGGCTCTGCCTCTGTCCATAGGCTGGCTGTGGGCAGCTCCACATAGTCAAGCTGACTAAAGGAGGCCTTGTTCCCAAACTCATAAGCTCTCACACCGAGCTGGGCCCCGCTTTAAAACAGGCTGCACCTGGAGTAGACACCCAGCAACTAGAGGGTAGATCGGCGGGATGAGGGTGTGGTGTTCAATTTGGCTTGGCTTTGGGAGGAGAGGCAAACCCAGAATTATTGAGAATGTGAGAAGAGAGAACCCTGGAGCCCTGAGCAAGGGGTTCCAGACACAGTGGAAGGACCATGGCCCCTGAGTAGTTTTACTACTCCAGAGTTCAAGGCTGCTTCCAGTGAATAATGGAAAGAATGGAGGCTGAGGCCAGGATTTGGTGTGGAAATATCTTGCTCCAGCTGTCTGCTTGGGAAATCCCAGGCTTTTGCTCACTCTTGGGGGAAATTTACATTGGTTAATACAACTTCCAATAGAGAAATCACACTGTAACTGGATTACATGGAAGGAAAAGAGGCTGGTCTCCTTGGTCTGGAGAGTAAGGAGAAGCTGGTGGTCCAGGAGAGGAATAAGTAGGAACCAGTCCCTAGGATGATTGGAGGAGAGAGAGTAGCTGAGGGAGCCCAGGTGGAAGGCCAGGGAGCTCTTCTGGAATCTTCCAGAGGAGGCTCAGAAAAACTCCTCCTCCACATGTATGAAATTTCCAGATAAATGACATTCACCCCTTGGAACATTTTTTAACCATCTTATGAAAAGAGCTTTAAAAGTATCTAAAGATGTTCCACTCCTCTTATGGAACAAACGCACCCAAGTTCATAGTTCATCAAGATTAGGGGTTAAGGTCATATACGTTACATGTGATGCGACCATGGTTTCTTAGGAAGAGAATCTGAATGTGATCTAATCTCCAATGATGATTCAGAGTGGAGTCACCTCACCTAGCTCAGCCTTTCTCACTGTCTGTCTGCCAAAGGCAGTCAGGTGCTGCTCGCTGCCTACCACCCCTGGATCACCACCATCTCTCTTTCTTTTTCCTTTTTTCGAATCCTCCTCCTCCTCCTCCTCCTTCTTCTTCTTCTTTTTTGGTTGGTCGTGGGGCTTGAACTCTGGGCCCGGGCGCTGTCCCTGTGCTCTTCAGCTCAAGGTGAGTGCTCTACCACTTGAGCCACAGCGCCACTTCTGGTTTTCTGGAGATAAGAGTCCCATGGACTGGACTGGCTTTGAACTGTGATCCTCAGATCTCAGCCTCCTGAGTAGCTAGGATTACAGGCATGAGCCCTTGTGTCTGGCCTCTCTTCTTTCTTTCTTTTTGGGTCCGGTCTTGGGGCCTGAACTCTGGGCCTGGGTGCTGTCCCTCAGCTCTTCAGCTCAAGGCTAGTGCTCTACCACTTGAGCCACAGCACCACCTCCGGTTTTTTTTACTTTTTGATTATGTGGTGCTGAGGAATTGAATCTAGGGCCTCATGCATTCAAGGCAAGCACTCTACCACTGAGACACCTTCCCAGCCCCTGACCTCTCTTCTTTCTTTTTGGTGGTATTAGTACTTGAATTCAGGCCCTTTGTGCTTCTAAGGAGGTGCTCTGCCACTTGAACTGTACCAAACTATTTTTGCTTTAGCTATTTTTTCCAATAGGGATTTTAAGATTTTTCCCAGGCTAGCCTGGACTGAGGTCCTCCCGCTTATGTCTGCAGAGTAGCTATGGCCATATGACATAAATCACCATTCCTGGTTTAATGGTTGGGATGAGAATCTCACTAGCTTTTTGCCTTAGTATAGCTTTGATTACAGGCATGTGCCTTTGAGCCTTACTTCATCTCTTTGTTTCCGACTTTCTTTGGGCTGAGACTATGTTTGTTCCAACCGTGTAAAACAGTTAACTAGGAGGCAAGGTTCTATTTGGTTCTTTAATGGTCTGTGTGTGAATATACTTTGGAGTAGCTCCCCAGGTGAGTGGCTTTGGTTTTGTGCATGTTTTCAGGTTATTGTCTATGCCTTGGGTTTCTTGGATCACTAAATAAGTGACCCAGAAGGTAGTCTACACACAAACTAAAGGAAGAAGCCATTCTCTGCTACATCCCCTCCTACTCCCTTTCTCCCTTTTCATTCCCTTCCGCAGCCCTCCTCCTGTCTCCATCTGGAGTTAGTGCCTCTCCCCCACTCCACACCTCCCCAGGCACGCACATGCTATCTCTCTCTCTCTCTCTCTCACACACACACACACATACTCACGCATGCACGCACACACGCATGCACACACCCATGCATGCATGCATGCGCTCTCGGCTATAGCCCCAAGCCACTGAAAACCTTCTTGGTTTCCCTTTCTTCATGGATCCAGACATCTGGAGATCTGCCGTCCCTGCAGCTGATGCTGGCCAATGTCACCAGTGACCTCAACAGGAAGAATGTGACATGCTGGGCAGAAAACGATGTGGGCCGCACTGAGATCTCTGTCCAGGTCAATGTTTCCTGTAAGTCTTCATGACATGAGGGCTCCTGCAACCCCTCCCCTGGCTTCTTCCCTAGAAGGAGGCTGGAGGGTGGAGGCTGGAGGGAAGAGTGAGTGTACAGCCCCACAGCTGCTCCCTCCCAGCTGTTTCCAGATTCCCATGAAAACCTGATCCTTTGGGGGATGTCCTGAGGGCTTCAAGGCCGGAGGGGTGGGGATGGATTTCTTTCTGGCCCTCTGCCCAAGCTCTGCTACCTGAGCCTTCAACGCCAGCTGCCCGGCTATCCCCACTGCACTCAAGTGCTTCTCATGCTGCCCCAGGGCCTTTGCCCCACGGCCTGATTTGTTTGTATGTTTTTCTGTTTCATTTAGGATCTTATTCTAGGTTTGGGAATGACCACTTTAAAACAAGTCACTACTAACACCCACAACTGAGTTTCCAGTTGGCATTTGCTGCCAACTGATGTTTGTGGGTAGAACAAGTTAGGGCTTGGACTTCCAGGAAAGAATCAAAACCCAAGAGTTGCATTCTTATTTTAAAACAGGGAAATTCCTCTCCTGAAGAGTTCCACTTCAGGCTTGTTATCTAGACTAAATCTGCCAGCAAATTAACCTTTTTTTTTAAATTTTGATCATGGACCTTGAAGTCAGGAGTACTGTCCCTGAGCTCTCTTTTTGCTCAGGGCTAACACTCTACTACTTTGAGCCACAAGGCCACTTCCAGTAAATTATCTTATATTAGATCTTCAGGTTTTGGATTCTTTCTTCCTTCCTTTCTTTCTTTTTTTTTTCTTTGTACTGAGGTTTGAACTCAGGGTCTCATATTTGTTGGGCTAAAGTTATACCATTTGAGCCATGCCTTCAGCCTGGTTATTTATTTGTTTACATGCCAGTTCTTAAGGCATAAGAACTGTCCCTGAGCTTCTTTTTGTTCAATCTAGCACTCTACCACTTTGAACCACAGCTCTACTTCCAGCTTTTTTGCTAGTTTAGTGGAGATAGGAGTCTTGTGGACTTTCCTGCCTGGGCTGACTTCAAACCACAAGCTTCAGATCTCAGCTTCCTGAATAGCTAGTATTATATATGTGAGCCACTGGTGCTGGGTTAGGCTGGTTATTTTTGAGATAGAATCTCACAAACTTTTCTGCCTGGGCTGGCCTAGAGCCATGATTTTCCTGCTCTTAGCCTCTAAAATAGCTAGGATTACAAGCATAAGCCTTATGTACCCTGCTTATTTTTTGAGATTGGATCTTTATTTATGGTTATACAGACCTGGATTAAGATTCTCTTATTGTTTTATATGTCCTTTTTTTTGTGTGTGTGTGTGATTGTGGAGCTTGAACTCTGGGCCTTGGTGCTGTCCCTGAGCTCTTCAGCTCAAGGGGAACGCTCTACCACTTGAGCCACAGTGCCACTTCCGGTTTTCTGGTTGTTTATTGTAGATAAGAGTCTCTCGGACTTTCCTGCCAGGGCTGGCTTTGAATAGTGATCCTCAGATCTCAGCCTCCTTAGTAGTTAGATTACAGGCATGAGTCACCAGTACCTGGCAGTCTTTCTTCTTTTGTTGTGAAATACACATAAAAATGTGCATAAAGCATATACACAACTGGCTGGGAATGTGGATTAGTGGTAGAGTGTTTGCCTAGCATACATGGTTTGATTCCTCAGCACCACATAAGCAGAAAAAGCCAGAAGTGGCACTGTGGCTCAAGTGGTAGAATGCTAGCCTTGAGCAAAAGAAGCTCAGAGACAGCGCCCAGGCCCTGAGTTCAAGCCCCAGGACTGCTCCCCCACCCCCCCAAAAAAAGGATACATACACCTTTTATTTTTATTTATTTAAGTTTGTTGGGAAAATGTTTCACTATGTAGTCCAGGATCGCCACAAACTATAGATCCTCCTTCTTTAACCCCCGAGTGCTGGGATCATAGACATGGGCCACAATGCCTGGCAATTTTACTTGCTTTTATGCATTTTGTAAATGGAATCTTATTGAATGTAAAATTCTGTGTCTAGTTTGTAGAATCTGTCCATGTTAATAGGAGTAGCTGTAGTTCATTCTCACACTACTGAATGATGTTTCATTGTATGAATCTTGGCTGGAATTTCAGTATAAATTGTGTGTTTATACACACAGACAGCTTTTTTTTTTTCTCTCATCTGTTCTTGAACTCATTATTTTCTTTGCTGTCTTCATTCTGTTGATTATTGTTGTATACCACCACAACTGGCTACTCTTTTTCTTTGTGCCTGTACTGGGGCTTGAACTCAGCATTTGGGTACTGTCCCTTAGCTTTTTTGCTCAAGGCAGGCATGCTGCTGCTTGAGCACACCTCTACTTATGGCTTTTTTGGTGGTTAATTGCAGAGAATAGTCTCACAGACTTTTGTGCTCAGGCTGACTTTGAATTTTGATCCTCAGATCTCAGCCTTCTGTGTAGCTAGGATGATAGGTGTGAACATTAGTACTTGGTTTTCCATAGCTCCCTTCTCCTTCCCTTCTCTTCCTTTCCCTTCCCTTCCCTTGCCTTCCCTTCCTCTCTCTTTCTCTCTCTCTCTCTGTCGGTTGTGGGGCTTGAACTCTGGACCTGGGTGCTGTCCCTCAGCTCTTCAGCTCAAGGTTAGTATTCTACCACTTGAGCCATAGTGCTACTTCCAGCTTTTTCTGTTTATGTGGTGCTGAGGAATTGAGCCCAGGGCCTCATGCATTCGAGGGAGGGAAGCATGCTACACTGAGCACCTTCCCAGCCCTTTCTTTTCTTTTTTAAAGATCAGGTTCCTGTAATTCCAGCTACTTAGGAGAGTGAGAGCTGAAAACAGCCATTTGAAGCCAGCCTGTACAGATAAATATGATAGTCTCTTATCTCCAATTAACCAGCAAAAAAAAGCCAAAAGTACAGGTGTGGCTCAAGTGATAAGGCACCAGACTTGAGCAAAAAAAGCTATGCAATAACCTGAGGCCTTTAGTTCAATTCCCACCACACACACACACACACACACACACATGCACACACACACACGCACACACATACACTCACACAGACAATTGTACTGCTGGGGATCACACACACACACACACACACACAGAGACAATTGTACTGCTGGGGATGGAGCCCAGGACCTGGGCATACTAGCCAAGTGCTTATATCCTCATCCCTCAAAAACTTCTTTATAGAGGAGCTGAGAATGCTGCTTAGTGGTAGAGTGCTTGCATGAAGCCCTGGGTTCGATTCCTCAGTACCACAAAAACGGAGAAGGCTGCAAGTGGCGCTGTGGCTCAAGTGGTCAAGTTCTAGCCTTGATCAAAAGAAGCTCAGGGACAGTGCCCAGTCCCTGAGTTCAAGCCCTTCGAACCCCAGGACTGGCAAAAAAAAAAGTTCTTTATAGAATATATACCTTTCACTTGTTTGATGTTTAGGTCTCCATCTCGTCATCTTCTTTTTTTTTTTTGTCAGTCATGGGGCTTGAACTCTGGGCCTGAATGCTGTCCTTTGGCTCTTCAGCTCAAGGCAAGCACTCTACCACTTGAGCCACTGTGCTACTTCTGTTTTTCTGAGTGGTTTATTGGAGATAAAAGTCTCATGGACTTTCCTGCCTAGGCTGGCTTTGAACCACAATCCTCAGATCTCAGCCCCTGAGTAGCTAAGGTTATAAGTGTGAGCCACCTGCGCCAGGCTCCATCTCATCTTTTTAAGCTTGATTACATATAACTTTTCCAGATCCTATATCCAAAAGACTCCATGTTTAAATGCCATCAGCTGTTTCTCTAATTTCTCTTGGAAAAGTACTTTATTTTGGGCCTGTCACTTAAGTTCTTGAAGCCTCTGAATTTTGTATACCTGCTACCAGATTTATTTAAGATTTACCATCAACTTTCTTGCAAATGTCGCACCTTATAAGTTTCTTAGAGCCTGCTGATCTGCTTGTCTTTAACTCATCTTCTCATTTCTGATCTCCATATTCCCTTTCCTGTCCCCTTCCCTCCAGTTATCCCCTGACTCACGGCTGTCCTCTGCCCACAGTCCCTGCCAGTGTGCACCTAGGTATGGCTGTGAGGCAGCACCAGTGGTGCATCCCCTTCTCTGTGGATGGGCAGCCGGCACCCTCCCTCCGCTGGCTCTTCAATGGCTCCATACTCAATGAGACCAGCTTCATCTACACCCATTTCCTGGAGTCATCCTTGACCAACGAGACAATGCAGCATGGTTGCCTTCGCCTCAACCAGCCCACGCATGTCAACAATGGGAACTACACCCTGGTGGCTGTCAACCCTTATGGCCAGGCGTCTGCTTCTGTTATGGCTGCCTTCATGGACAACCCTTTTGAGTTCAACCCTGAGGACCCCATCCCTGGTGCGAGAGCCATCCTGAGCCCTGCCGCCCCCCGTTCCTGGCCCCCTTTCTTCTCTGACCCTGACTCTAGAAGTTGGAGTGCTTGGTCCTGGACAGAAAGGAACTGGTGCCCAGCTCTGTGCTGGCCTCCTTCCATTTCCCCAGAGCCAGGACTTCTGAACCCCAAACTATCCCATCCATTGAGGCTGGCTGAAGAGAGAGCCATGCACCAGGGGGTCAGAGTCCAGCTGGAAAAGGGCCAGGGGTCCAGCAGTCTCCCTATTCCTCCCACCCCTGAAGGGGTGAGCCCCAGAGGGGCAGGGGGTGCTCTGCTTTCCTCCTCCATCTGATTGTTCTTTCTCCTCCCTCTGCAGTCTCCTTCTCTCCAGTGGGTGAGTAACCTGGGCTGGATGGAAAGTTGTATCTGGACCTTGGAGCTGAGGTTGGGGCCAAGGAGCAGCTGACCAGGTTCCTGAGAAACTGGCTTGGGATCAGGGAAGGAAGTTGCTGGAAGTGGACCGATCTTCCTGCCCTATGTCTCCCACAGACACTAACAGCACATCTAGAGATCCAGTGGAGAAAAAGGATGAAACACCTTTTGGGGTGAGCAGGGGAGTGTCACTTTGGGAGGGCGAGGCCAGGCAGGAGGCTCGTTTATGGTCATTTCTGGGCAGAGCAAGGAGATCTTAGACCAGATCTCAATCTGGTCTAAGCTCTGTTCAGTGCAGGCTGGGGTGTCGGGAGGGGTATCTGGGAGGAGCAGGTGGCAGATCAGGGATCCTGGCTCTGGGTCCCCATGTAGGATAGAGAGTTTTCTGTGGGAAGCTCTGAGGGGCAGAAACTTCTGATCTGACCCCACCTCTAGGTCTCGGTGGCCGTGGGCCTGGCTGTCTTTGCCTGCCTGTTTCTTTCTGCTCTACTCCTTGTGCTCAACAAATGTGGACAGAGGAGCAAGTTTGGCATCAACCGTGAGTTGCTATCTGGCTGTCTGTCCTACTGGCTATTTGCTACTGGCTTTTCTTGATTGTATGGGGAAGGCCTGTGCTCACATGGTGTTTTAGGTGTGTGTGTGTGTGTGTGTGTGTGTGTGTATTGGGCTAGTGTGGGGGTAGTTTCAGAGGTAGCAGCTGCTAATTGGTGGCTGGATTGTAGTCAAACATTAAGTGGGTCTAGGAGGTCTGTAGGGGACTGGCAGGGGCTCTTTGTTGCCCATGAGGCCAAGGGTTGGATAAGAGCCAGTCAAAGAGAGGCCCTGCTGCCTTCCCTTCCCCCCACTCCTGCTGTCTTGCTCCCTAATTCCTCTGTCCCTCTCTTGTAAGTTGGAAGGTATGGGGGATGGCCTGGCACTTTGCAGGCAAGCATGGGCAAAAGCCAAGATGGATGCCCAGGCTCTGATCTCCTCCATGTGTCTCTCCCTAGGTCCTGCTGTGCTGGCTCCAGAGGATGGGCTGGCCATGTCCCTGCATTTCATGACATTGGGTGGCAGTTCACTTTCCCCTACTGAGGGCAAAAGCTCTGGGCTTCAAGGCCACATCATCGAGAACCCACAGTACTTCAGTGATGCCTGTGAGGGGCTACACTGTCGAGGGCAAGGGCGAGGGTGTGCGTGTGCATGTCTGTGTGTTCAGAAATCCCTATGCCGGCCCTGGTCCTAAGAGTCCCTCCTTCCCTATCTCACTACCCTGTCCCAGTCCTGATCTCAGTAATCACTTATCTTCCTCAGGCAGAGAGCAGCCCCTACCCAGTGCCCAGTTCCTATATCACGACCTCTCTGGGCAGATGTAGGCCCGAATCAGGACATGGGCTTGGGAAAGGGCTGGGAGGCCAGCGCCCAGCACTTCCCGTAGCTGGATAATCTGGTGCAGCACACAGTCCCAATAACCAGTCCTGTCCTTACCACTGCCCCACCCCACCCAAGACGGGGGCTGCCTCTCCCCCTGCCCCTCCCAGGTGTTCATCATATCAAACGCCGGGACATCGTGCTCAAGTGGGAGCTGGGCGAGGGCGCCTTTGGGAAGGTCTTCCTCGCTGAGTGCCACAACCTGCTGCCTGACCAGGACAAGATGCTGGTGGCTGTCAAGGTGAGCCCTCTGCCCCCTCCCAGAGTGCCATCACGTCAGGACCATGCTACTACCGTGGTAGTGGGGTCCTGAACAGGAAGTCTGAGGGGACTTGAGGCCGGGCTGAGGGCTCCTTGGATCGAGTGAAGCGAGAACCCTTCCTCAATCCCGGCCTCTGCCCCTGTCCCCAGGCACTGAAGGAGGTGTCTGAGAACGCTCGACAAGACTTCCAGCGTGAGGCCGAGCTGCTCACCATGCTCCAACACCAGCACATTGTGCGCTTCTTTGGTGTCTGCACCGAGGGCCGCCCACTGCTCATGGTCTTTGAGTACATGCGGCATGGGGACCTCAATCGCTTCCTCCGGTATGGCCACCTGGCCCTGGTGCTGACCCTTGACCCCTGGCTGAGCCTGTCATCCCTTCCCTCCAAGTGTGTCCCTGCTTTCTGTGAAAATGATGGGTGGTTCCCCAACAAGGATCAGGAAGGCACTATCCCCACATCCATGGGAGAGGAGATGGTGTGACTGTGTGGTCTGTCCCGCAGAGGAGTGTTAGTTTCAAAAGGTTTCTGTGGCCTAGGTTGTGAGCTGCTACTTTGGGATGGGTGGACTTTGCAAGTGTGTGTGTGTGTGTGTGTGTGTGTGTGTGTGTGTGTGTTCTCATGCGGCCGCCGAAGCCTGGCCTATAGGAACTGGCCCTGTGGAGGATTACATACATTACCATCAGGTACTTTCCCCATGCTTGTACATGTGCATTTTATACATATTTCTCATAGTTTCCAAGCACGTAGGGCAACATACTAGAAGGAAGTGAGACACAATTTGTTTCTTTGGCTTTGGACCAAACAAGTCTGATAGGTGTATTTGTGTTAAGAATTTTCAGCATTTTAAGAAATGTGCCTGTTTCCCAGATGATCTGTGGGGAGGGGAGTCACTTGTCAACCAGGCCCCGGCTGTGATGTCATCTGCTTTCCTCACTGAATCCTTGTCGTGGAGATTGTCACCCATGAGGTTGGGTTAGGGTTAATCAGAAAGGGAGTCAGGGTTTGGAAGCAGCTGCTGCTTACTCCCTGAGCCTTCTTTGTCAAATAACTTTTCTCTCTGACTCCACTTTCTTGACCAGGAGGAGAGACAGCATGGGGCTGTGGCTGTGGATGAGGAAGAAAGGTGCAGTTGTCATTGTACGCCCAGTGTCCCCTTGGGGACTGATAGGTCATACTTACAGAACTCAGCTAGGATAGACTTCTAGTCTGAGCTGACCGTAAGAGCTTCTGGGGGTCACTAGAAGGCTGGTAGGATCAGCCCTGAGGTGAGGGAAGGTGGATTGGCAGAGGGTTAGAGCCAAAAGGCCAGGAAGACACCCATCTTCTTGCTCATCAGACACAGTGCAGGTCCAGTGCTGGTCTTGGGTGATGCAGGCTGGGAAGATGTCACCAAATGGGCCCCTGGCTGTGGGAGAAGGGCTGTGAGTGGAACTTTGAGAAAGGAAGGGGATTATGATGGCTCCTAAATGACGTTGGAAGACTTACTGTTCATTGCAAGAGAGGAAGGGCAAGGGGGCGGTGGCCTCCTGTCTCAGCTGGAGTTTTAAGGTGCTGCCTAAGAGGAAGGTATAGGTATAGGCTCTTTCTGATTGAAGCCCTGGTTGTAGCAGCCCCATCCCAATGCCCAGACAGCTGGTGTCTTTCTTTCCCTTTCTCATTTCTTCTTGAGTTTGCTCCTCTACCTGGCCCAGCTCTGGGGATTCCCTTCCTCAGCTGGTTTTTGAGAGAAGGTGTGTGTGTGTGTGCACGCGCGCATATGCATGTGTGCATAGCTGAGTGTGTGTGCGCACATGCATGTGTGCATAGCTGAGTGTGTGTGTGCACATGCATGTGTGCATAGCTGAGTGTGTGTCTATGTATGCCCTCTCAGCCCATCCCTTTCCCTCTCTCTTTCCCACTCAGGTCCCATGGGCCAGATGCCAAGCTGCTGGCTGGTGGGGAGGATGTGGCTCCAGGCCCCCTGGGCCTCGGGCAGCTGCTGGCAGTGGCTAGCCAGGTGGCAGCAGGGATGGTGTACCTGGCCAGTCTGCACTTTGTGCACCGGGACTTGGCCACCCGCAACTGTTTGGTGGGCCAAGGACTAGTGGTCAAGATCGGGGATTTTGGCATGAGCAGAGACATCTACAGCACTGACTATTACCGCGTAAGGGTCCCTGGCCTCTGCCCACAGAGACGCCCTGAAAGACAGTCCCCCAAGTCCCTGCCCTCTTCCTCTGAGACCTTTTGGGATCTGGGTTTTGTTTTGTTGTTGTTTGTTTTGTTTTGTGCCAGTCCTGTTGCTTGAACTTAGGGTCTGGGCACTGCCCCTGCACTTCTTTTTGCTCAAGGCTACCACTCTACCACTTGAGCCGCAGCTCCACTTCCAGCTTTTTGGTTATTAATTGGAAATGAGTGTCATAGACTTTCCTGCTTTGGCTGGCTTTGAACCATGATCCTCAGATCTTATGTTCCTGAGTAGCTAGGATTATAGGCATGAAGCACTGATACTTGTTTGGGGATCTGGGTTTGCATCCCTTAGAAGGGACAGAAAGAGCACCACTGGGCTGGGCTGGGTTGGGCTTGGGGCTGCTCTGGGAGAGACTCTCTGGCGGTAATGTGGCATGTGCCTACCCCTGCAGGTGGGAGGCCGCACCATGCTGCCCATCCGCTGGATGCCACCCGAGAGCATCCTCTACCGCAAGTTCACCACTGAGAGCGACGTGTGGAGCTTTGGCGTAGTGCTCTGGGAGATCTTCACCTATGGCAAGCAGCCCTGGTATCAGCTCTCCAACACTGAGGTCAGCTCTGCCCTGGTCTCACCAGTCTACCGCCAGCCTTTCCTGCCCCTGTGTGTGTGTGGGGGGGGGGTGCGTGCATGCGTGTGTGTGTGTGTGTGTGTGTGCGTGTGTGTGTGTGTGGGAAACTCACTCCTATTCCCTATCCACAACCCTGATCTTTGTTCCTTCCTTTTTCCCTTGCCTTCCCTTCCCTTCCTTTCCCCTCCTTTTTTTGGTGGGTAGTCATGGGGCTTGAACTCAGGGTCTAGGTGCTGTCCCTAAGCTTTGTTGCTCAAGGCTAGTGCTCTACCACTTTGAGCCACAGTGGTTAATTGGATATAGGAGTCTCACAGACTTTCCTGCCCAGGATGGCTTTGAACCTTGATCCTCAAATCTCAGCCCCCTGAGTAGCTAGGATTATAGGCCATGAGCCACCCGTACCCAGATTCCAATTTTTATTTTCTTGCCCCAATCCTTCCCTCACTGACCATGTTAAGTTCAGGCTCAGCTGGCTCCTGGATGAATCTCAAAGCATGTTGCAAATTGAGTCAGGTCCCAATTCCTGGCAGCATTTTATTGAGCTACTAGATGTTACCAAGGATGGAAGGGAGGGGCATAGGAAAGATGGCCCGCCACAGCAACAGGGAGGCTGAAGGTTCCATTCTCAGAAGGACAGCCCTTCCTCCTGGGCTCCTGGCTGGCCAGCAGTCAGAGCAGGCCCCAGGTGTTTGGTCTCCCAGAGCAGCTCCCCCCGCCCCCTCCTTGGCTCGCAGCTGTCAGTTTCCATTTCTCCTCCTAATGCAGTCTGTTCCCTGGAGGCTGGTGGGGTGGGGGAGAGGGTTATAGATTTTAATTTTCTCAAGCACTGAGAGAAGGAATGGAATTAGTGCTGCCCATAACCAAGTCCACTAATGGGGCGGGGAAAGAAGGGGGAAATAGGCTCCAGGCTCCTTCTCCAATCATCTCTCTGCCACTGTTTCTTCTTTGAATCCCTTTAGCAGCTCTAGCAGTCTTTCCGGGAGTCTAACTTTAATCTTCCATGCTATAGTTTCTTTTCAGCGGAGCTTGATCTCCACAGAGAGGTACCCACAAAAGGGAGAAGGAAGTAGAAGCGTTTTGAAAGGGCCTGGGCAACTGTCCTTGAGCTTTTTTACTCAAGGCCAGAACTCTCCCACTTTGAGCTACAGCTCCATTTCCACTTTTCTGTTGGTTAATTGGAGATAAGAGTCTCATGGACTTTTCGTGCCCAGGCTGGCTTCAAACCTCAATCCTCAGATCTCAGCCTCCTGAGTAGCTAGGATTTCAGGCTTGAGCCACCAGTGCTTGGCTGGCCTGACATTCTTTTCAGATCTTTTTTTATATTGTCGGTCGTGGGGCCTGAACTCTGGGCCTGGGCGCTGTCCCTCAGCTCTTCAGCTCAAGGCGAGCACTCTACCACTTGAGCTACAGTGCCACTTCCGGTTTTCTGGTGGTTTATTGGAGATAGGAGTCTCACGGTCTTTCCTGCCCGGGCTGGCTTTGAACCGCGATCCTCAGATCT